GCACCCACAATCTTCTCTCAGGCTGAGTTGAAATTTCACAGCCGCGCAAACAATAGTTAAAGATATATCATTAAGTATTATGATATTTATATTTTAGATACAGGATACGAGATATTTCTAACTATATCGTACTACAGGTAAGCATTCTCATAACTGTGCTCTTAATTTGTTCGAAAAAATAATTTTGATTTGTTAATCTTACCCAAATATTTTAACTTTGCAACATTTTCGAATGATGTAGCCTTATTAGATATTTCTATGTACGTAGAATCTGAGGTTTTCACGTAGGTGGTTATGAAGGACATAGATCTCTAGATATTTCTATGCTAATATTTTGTCCTGCGTTCTGAAGACATGTGCATTCATTTCTGCACAAACGTCCTCATTAACGTCTAACAGGGAATTTGTTTTATTTTTTGTCTTTATGTTCTTTCCCAGGAAATAACATCACAAACATAGACCAGAGGGTAATGCCCCTTTCGGTTTCAGTGCCTCCTTGTTTACTTTCATTTTTCCAATGTGCAAATTGCAAAGGAGTGGCTAAAGGTCATTTCATGGCTCAGATCTTTCTGAATGGGAAATTCGTCATAAATTTGTACTAATAGAATCTTTCCTAGGACGATAGGTTTCGATTAACTATCTCTCTATGGCTTTACAGCCTTTTTTGGGGGCCTTTGTCGCTTTTCAGTTTCTTAATCCTATACACAGTCGGTAGGGCTCCTTGGAGGGGAATCAGCTGGTCGCAAGGGCGCTACCTACACCAAGAACAACACAAACACACACATCCACGTATTGAGTGGGATTCTAACCCACGGCCCCAGTGTTCGAGCGGGCGAAGAAAGCTCATGCCTTACACCGCGCAGCCACTCTGTTCGGCAGGTTTCGTTTATGCATGTCTTAATTCCTCTAATTTAGTTCATGCATAAACCAAATTACTAAGAACTTTGTACTAGTGTTCTTCTCTGAGTCAGTGGCTTACTTGAAGTTTGTAAATAACTGACATACTGCTCCATTCTGCCCCGGTGAGTGGTCAGCTTAACTCTCGTGTCGCCTTAACCCCCGGAAAAGTACACCAGTGAAGACTCTTCCGCGTCTATATTACATTTTGACTGAATTTCAGTTGGAAGGCAGCTTTGAAGCTGATGTTATATGAAGAGTTATATTTTCTTAGATGTAACATGTAGACAAAGTAGAAGTCAACCGACGTTTCAGAGAAGCAAGTGACAAGAAATTGCTTGCTACTTGCTTGTTGCTGTCGTCTTGCTTAGTTTACTATTCGACCGGAAGATGGAGGCGGTGCTTTACTTCGAAATGTCTTTGTATTTCTACACGACTACGTGGCGTCACACATCAGAAGCCAGAAAGTTTTTATGCTCACGGCTATCAGTACCTCATATCCAACTGATATTCCATGTTCAGGTCATAGAGGCTGAAACTGTGACTGCATAGACGCCCCTACATAACTGGAAGATAAGCACGCCAGACTATATATCTGTGTGTAGAATGAAATTATTGGCCCATTCCGAGAGAACAGCTCTAGGGGTTTCAAACTTATGTGTCTCTTCGAAGGGGGAGGAGGGATTATAGGCGTATGTAGCACTACTAATTACTTTATATGTATAATCATTATGCAAAGAAGATATGAAGTGGAGAGTCCTTAGGAAGGCCCGATCTCTCATCCAAGGAAACTAAAAACGACAGATATTTAACTCCTTCGGAAATCATTCCGAATCTGCTGAAGCTAGTTTATGTAATGGTAATGGCTCGCGCGCGCACACACGCACACGCACGCGCGCTTTCGAGAGAACCTCACGGGTCCTCGACAATAATGGGACTATAATTATGTCTATCAATAAAATGAAGTAAGCAAATATTGTGTTAGCTTCGTATCGTGTTGCGCCTCACTATTATAGATTTGTGGAGTCTATCAATTTCAGATGTTAAGACATGATTTTTACAGATTAATTCCCGTGTAATGTTCGCAATATGACACGGCCTATTTATGTCACTTTTTTTTTAATCGCTTAGAGGGGGTGGGGTCCAGCTGGGTCCACTAGGCACGGAGGCCACTGATTGGCCTATTGTAGCCTGCTCCTGGTGATTATGATGAGGGAGAATTTGGTGGAATGAAGATTGGCAGGGGAACCCGAAGTATTTGGAGAAAACTCGACCCAACGCCACTTTGTCCACCACAAATCCCACTTGACCGGACCCGGGATCGAACCCGAGCCGCCACGGTGGGAAGCCAGCGACTAACCGCTTGAGCTATGGTGCAAAGTTCTGTAATTTATAATATTCTGTACGTCTAGTTCGTACCGTGTCTTACCCTAGACGATGCCAGCTAAAGTTAGATCTGCCAAGCGGCCATTTAAATTTTCACACCTGAACCACTTTCACAGGTAAATAACAGACCAAAATATAAACACAACTGAAGAAATTCACGAGTAGGACGACTCCCAGAGTGCAAAATGTGGCCACGAGTCCCTTCTGGACTGGGAACCAAGAATGGCTGTGCTAGCAAGGACCAGCAGAAATTTACCAGATCGATCACATGTAAAGGGAAATATTCCCTCCAGAATTTCTTGACTATGCAATTCAGATAAAATGCCAACATTACGCACGCTTGATCATTGGTCTATAGTAGTTTATGTGAATATCTAAATTTTCGACACCTGGCACTCGTAGCTAATAAATATCGTAAAAATTATACAACCACGAAGACTAACCTCGGTACAGGATAAAGGACGATTCGAATGTTCTGCACAGCAATGTTCAATTGAAAAGAACAAAACTGTAGATTTCTCGTGGGTGTGAAGGGATTCCGTAGCTGGAAATGACAGGGCAGTGTGTTACAGAGAACCAGTGGTCGTTATTCGCTCTAACAGCCGGGAAAAATTGACCGTGCGGAGACTGCTCAGTGGAACTAGAAAATGTTACAACTGAGATATACAGGCGATTTCCATCCTCCAATCTAATATTTCTCAATCAGTGTACCACGACAGAATACAATACATTATATTTGTGCGTCCTGTTAAGCTTCTCAGTCAGTGAGTGTGCTTGTGTGTGGCGTCATTTCACACAACCATCAATAAAATTATTATAAATTATAGAAATATATTGTGTATTTAGCTTCATGTTCGCCCTTAAATTTCGTATTAAAATTACAATGAACGTATTCATTAATGTCATACCTATCACCTTTTTCAGTTGCGTGTTTCATTCAGACCGGACAAAAAAAGTAATGAAAAACACACACGACCTTAGCTACAGTAAAAGACGAAAGTAGGGTGTAAAGTTAGTGCATGCAGAAGAATGTCACCAGTATTGTGGTGTAACAACTAAACAAACCCTCATAAGAGCTCACGACGCTAACGCAAGTCACCGCATGGAGCATAACGCAAAGGAAAAACAGCAAAAGAACTGATGCCTGGACATGTGACACAGGTGCTGTCACGGCAAATTAGGCGAGTTAATTTATTCTGTAATAAAATTAAGTAAAGGCATCCCTGTAACAGGCCGCAGAGGCCCATAGGATTGTGAGATATTGAAGTACCCAATCTGATTGCATTTTTGCCATCTAAACTTCCAGGCTTATATGTGTGAGCAGGAGGTATACGGCATCAGGGAATTGTTTTGTTTCCATTTATTAAAGTGCTTACAGAATCAAACTCGGTATAGGAAGGTACGAGTTGTTAGAGATGATATTCTTGTAAATATATTTTACAGTTTAGTGTAGAATATATACTCGTATAGTGATGTGTTAGTCTTGTGTATTAATGCTTAGAAGAGTGTCGAATGATTACCTTAGGTCCACATTGTAAAAACTGATTTCACTATTTAATATGAAGCACTAGAATTGATGAATGGATTCCTTTCATATAAAGTATATATATGATTCACATATGTCGAAATACATATTAAATTTAATAATGGTAACATTCGAAAACAGAATATTTCGAGAAATTTTGGAAATTGTAAAGTGTCAATCAAAATAAGTGTGATATAATTCACTTGAGAGCGTTCTGAAATGTCAATATTTCCGAAAAGTTGCATTTACGAACGTTATAAATATCGTAATATATTCCAGGATTCATAGATTACGTAGAGATTTTAACAGAAAAATATATACAAGAGTTTATCATGTGAGAAAATTCGGAAATGAAATATCCGACATAAATATATAACGATCACGTACGCTATAACAAACATTCAATCGTTAGATAGTGCCGACGGCTAAACCTTCCTCAACTAAGCAAAACGATGCGCAGTAGTCATATGCGCACACCTATCATTATGTAAACAAAAACCTAATACTAGCTTAACATACCGAGCTTCGCCCCCTCCAAGGTGAATATGTATGCGCAGTAGTCTTCTGCGCAAACCTAACCTAACCTAACCTAACCTAACCTAACTTAACCTAACATAAGCGAATGGCACCCAAGGGCCAGCCCACCAAGTTACATGTGGATGCGCAGTAGTCCATTGCGCACACCTATCAGTGACGTCATTTACGAAACTGCTATTTAACCGAACGTAATGTAAGACTGTCATAACATGGAATATCAATTGAAACATGATTATATATATAAATTTGAGCGTGTTGACTATTTTCCAAACCATGGTCGCAATTTAAGCCTATATAATCCAATATTTAACTGATATGGGGTAACTTACATTGTGACGAAAACGCCGCTCCCACCTCATGAGTTTGCATATCCCCCACGGTGATACAAATGATTACTGAATATCACATATTATGGCATTATGCTGTCCTCCGATGGCATAACTTTACGACGAAAAATGGTTATTATCTGTGAATTCGTTATGTCTTTTCTCGAGGTTGAATACGCGACCAATTCAGTGAACGATTGGCATTCCTGTAAGCCCGAATTACCCTTCCTGTATAGGAAGTAGGATAATAATATTCACGAAAATGACTTCAAATAGGGAAAAAATTTCCGTCCTGTATTCCACCTGATAATTGAATATTTCTGTTTCAGTCACGTTAAGAGGTTGGCTGCCCTGTCACTGTGACCTAAATACGTATATCCGGTGTACAGCATCAAGGTGCGTTTCTTTCCTGGTATGAAGAGGTATCTCTATAAATAGTAAGATTGTTGTGTGAATGTTTCTATACATATATTTGCAAGTTCTGATTAATTATCTGCCTGAAAATATGTCTTGAATGTTTCAGTGAGAAAGTGCAAATGGTAGGCATTAATGTCTGTATTATCCTGTACGGAATAGTGGCGAGTGCACCAAATTTTACAAACGTGTGTTTCCTCTGTTCCACAACGAAATCGAAGTGGTGTTCCCTGAAACATGATACTGAAGTGTGCGTGAAGGAAGAATAAACCATTAAGTTCATTTATTGAGTTAACGAAAGCAAGTGCATATAAGAATAGTGGGTGTATAGTGAAAGTCAATGTGTTATTGAGATTGTTTTTGCATTATTATTCATAATTTCGCGTGAAATATGTACAGTGGTTTGCACAATATGTGTTGTAGTGGTAGAATGGATAGAAAGTGAATTCGATTTTATGAGTGTAAATATCCTATAACAGAAAACATGGTGTATTTTTGGTATGTAGCCTCTGGATGCTTTAAGTGTTAGTAGGTTATTATTCAGAAAGATATATATGTTTTGTTTTTTGTTTTTAGCATAAGTGTAAGTACTTATAAGAAGAGGGTGCAAAGTGAATTGCTAGTTCGCTTTTGAGGAAGTTACTGTTGAATTTATAACTTAGGTCTGTGTGACATAGTGTGGTGAGTGTAATGGATATTGTTCAGGTCACAATAATGTGGAATGTAAAGTGAAGTTCAAGTTCTCTAGTGTGACTACATACTTTTGTGTGTAAAAGTTGCAGTGTTTTCAAAAATGTTAAGACTTCCATTCACCCACAATGGATTCAAAATTTCCCCTCTTATGTACATATCTTGGTTGCATGAGGAAATCTTGCTTATAAGAAGGTGCTATTGGAAGTAAAACACATGGTGTCATTGGTGTGATGCTAGCAATCCTCTACAATGACATTGTGTAAAATGTGCAATGTGGTGTGTAGAGTATGTGTTACAGCATGAAGTATGATTGCAAGTGATTTGTAAGTTAGAAGTGTATTTCTGTGTGATAGGCTATTGATTGCATTCTTGCCATCTAATCTTCCAGGTTACAAGTGTGAACAGGTAGTATACAACATCAGGGAATTGTTCTCTTTCCATTTATTAAAGTGCTTAAAGAATTACACTCTGTATAGGAAGGCACGAGTTGTTACAGATGACATTCTTTTAAATGTATTTTATAGTTTAGTGTAGAGCATATACTCATATAATGATGTGTTAGTTTAGTGTTTTAATGCTTAGAAGGGTGTCGAATAATTTCCTTAAATCGACATCGTAATCAGTGATTTCCCTATCTAATATGATGCACTAGAATTGTTGGGTGGATTCCTTTTGATATAAAGTATATTATATATATATATGCTTCTCATATGTCGAAATAGGTATTAAAGTCAATAATGGCAACATTCGAAAGAAAATATTTCTGGAACTGTTGGAATTTGTGTCATTCGAGATAAATGTGTTATAATTCACTTGAGAGCTTTCTGAAATGTCAATATTTCGGAAAAGGTGTATTTACGAACATTATAAATATCGTAATATATTCCAGGTTTCATAGATTACGTAGAGATTTTATCAGAAATATATATACAAGAGTTTAATATGTGAGAAAATTCGGAAATGAAATATCCCACATAAATATATGACGATCTCGTACGCTATCAGATACATTCAATCGTTAGATAATGCCGACGTTTAAACCTTCCTCAACTAAGCATAACGATGCGCAGTAATCATATGCGCACACCAATTATAATGACTCCTAACAAACTAATGTTTGATTAACATATCGATCTTCGCCCCCTCTAAGGTAAATATGTATGCGCAGTAGTCTTCTGCGCAAACCTAACCTAACCTAACCTAACCTAACTTAACCTAACATCAGCGAATGTTACCCAAGGGCGAGCCCCCCCAAGTTACATGTGGATGCGCAGTAGTCCATTGCGCACACCTATCAGTGACGTCATTTACGAAGCTGCTATTTAACCGAACGTAATCTAGGACTGTCTTAACATGGAATGTCAATTGAAACATTATTATATATATATAAATTTGTGCGTGTTGACTATTTTTCAAACCATGATCTCAATTTATTCCTATATATTCCAAGGTTTAACTTCTATGCCGTAGCTTAGATTTTGATTCTAGATAATCTATATTATTCTAGATAATCGGCTCATAGATGGCTGTAAGTTTTTCAGTCTTAAGCGCCGGTCTCTCTTTACCCTCATTACTCTTTCAGGTACTTATTTCTGTTAGAGGTTGAGTATACCCCGGGGCAATTTTTCGGCCAGAACTCTTATGTCATCGTTGTTTGGACCCGCGACCTTCCTTCTTGTAGCATAGTCCCTCTACCAACTGCTCTACCCTTTGCCCCCCTCCTAAATAGTACATTTTATCATACTGTACCCGATCGTCGCCATCTATCTATCTATCTATCTATCTATCTATCTATCTATCTATCTATCTATCTATCTATCTATCTATCTATCTGTCTGTCTGTCTGTCTGTCTGTCTGTCTGTCTGTCTGTCTGTCTGTCTGTCTGTCTGTCTATTGCTCTACAGCCCTTGTGGACCTTGGCCCCTCCTTCTCTTTCTTGGTCTTATGCACGGTCCGTATGACTCCTTGAACGAGTCATCATTTCGTCGCAAGGCCTCTGCCTAAACTCAGGACAACACAAACATTGAATAAACGCACACAGACATCCATGCCTCGCTTAGGATTCGAATCCACGACCCCAGTGTTTGAGCGGGCGAAGATCGTTCTTTCCCTAAACCGCATGGCCAGTGTGATCTATTTGTTGATTTAAGGCAGAATGAAATGCATAAAGCTGTGCCATTGGTGCCTGGACCTCCTTTTTGTTGACGTTTAAGTAGCTTCTCAAACTTCAAGGTATAAATCGCCAGTTAATGGTAAAATTTAGACAGAACTGATGCAAGCAGGAAAAAAACCATTATGTCGGAAAAGTGTTTATTTTATTTGAAATAAGGGAATTTTCTAATCGCAATGGAAGGAGGGTAACCGTTATTGTACCTATTTGTAAGAGAGAAAGAAAAACCTTTCTGGATTTAAATTGCAAGCAGCAGTGACCAGCAGTTCGAAGCAAGTTCGCCGAAATTCCGAAGCAACCTGCTTCCTTCGCGTTCAGAGTTGAAATGTAAACCAAAAAACGACCAGCAAGAAGCTGGCGGAGACGGAGGCTAGATGTTCTTCCGAAATGTCTGTGAGCTTCTACCAAATTGCATGGCCTTGCAATCCAGAAAACAGTACACTTCAAAATAATATTTAACTGCAGAAATTGTATTGTCTGAAAATATAATTTTTGTTAATTAGACACAGAATTTTATTTATCATTCTCCATTTATGGTGAGCTCCGTACACAGACAAAATTACTGGGTCATGATGAGTGTGGATTCGAGTATAACACGTCATTAAGTAGACCCATGAAATTCAGAAAGGACTGGAATAAATTGGAAAATATCACCATTTGTTCAATAATGATAATGTATTGTATAAAAATTCTTTTATACATTAAAAATAAACTGCTGTACTATACGTTTAGGGCTATATGTTCGGACTTAACCTTCTGATTTCAAGATCATAACGTTTAAAATTTGGGCCCCCTTCCCATTTTCAGAATTAGACGGTATAAAAATTTTCAAGACCTAGGCAGACCTGGAGTCATATCCTAGTCCTGCAGAGTTGAAGTACACCGGCATAAATGTAAGTAGGCTCCATATTTTCACGTTTCTTCGCCGAAATTCAGAAAAAATCATAACGCCCAAGTACATAGATCACTTCATGACGTTGCAAAGTTTATACTTGGAATTGGGAGTAATAAATCGAAAATAGGCTTCATTCTGGAAGAGTTTCACAGTAGATTAAATGTAGGGACTGTGTCATAAGAGGCAGGAAACTTCCTCTTCACCTAAACGACTGTCATCTTCTGAAGAAGAATTCTATTCCGTTGTAAGACTGTTTATGTGCTACATAGCCCGTCAATAATACAAGTCGTTTCTTCCGTCTTTCACTTTCACTTTCGACACAACATGTTTAGGCCCTAAATGGCCATCTTCATGTGTCTAACTATGATAAAACTGCTACACTGCACTAATGTTGTCCATTCATCACTTATGCGACTTCACGCTTCATGATTTAAAGCTTCATCATCGTAGTCAATCGTTATGCGCTAAAATAGCACACGCTGTAGTTCACTTGGTTTGAATCAAATAAATCTATTAAAATTTTCTTTTAAAATTTGTTTTCCTTTAGATTTTATAAAATTCTTATTAAACCTCAAAAGGAGCGTCGTCCACTTGTTAAGATCTGTATCCATTTCTTCAGACGTTTCATTTCTGCAGCATTTTTCTATTCGTAAGCTCGTCGTTGTGTTACGTCTGCAATATGTAATCCGTTGTAAGAATTACACAGCCATTGGACAACGCGTTTTGGACAAGATCTCTTTGGCTGTCATGTGTTTGTATGTATGAAGTCAGCATTCCCCAAATTAGTCTTATATTCCATGTTGTCCAAAGCACTTCAGGACACGTCACCGGGCGTAAACAACAACAAATGCCTTTTTTAGTGCCTGTACACTTGATGCACTGTAATAACTTTCTCCCCTGTTCCTTCCGGTAGTACTCATTCGTACAGTTTATGCGTGCGTAACAATGCAGTGGTCGAGGGGAGGCACGTGTTCTGGAAGGGAGAGGGGGCTACAAGGGCTGTTACGTAGATCGCTTCGGGCTCCTATCCTGACACCCCATCAGTCGCTCCCCCAGTTGTCAGTCCCTATCCTGTTCAGAGGCTCGCACTGTGGCTTTTGTCATGAGAGCTCCAGGCATTTAAATATGTCCATGTTTTTCTTTATAAAGAGAAGAAAAACGTACACTCCGCTTGAGAAAAACATTCGGTTAAACGTTATGACTTCTGCCACCCTTTTGTTCAG